GTCCCAAAACTACCATATGATTATGAGAGACGGCGTAGTGGAGGGCTCCGGTAATGTCGACCACCTGGAATTCCTTAACGTGCACACAAATATGAGCACATGGGCCTACAGCATTCGCGCCGCCATCTTAAAAGCAGCCGCCGAAGCCGGGATTTGATCCCGCGACCATGTGGATCAGCAGCCTAGTACCTTCTCAACTAGACCACCATGGCGAGGCTCAGCGAGTTTTTAAAATGACATTCTAAGATGATTGCTAGTGACATCAGTTTACGGGCAAGGCAAGCTAGGGCGATTGTGAGTGATGGTTTCTCTGCAGTATACCGAGAAGAGTTACAGTAGATGAGGTGCGGTCTTCTCGACACCATAGTCAAATATGTTTCTGACAGCCAAAAGATGACAGACAAATGATGATGATGATGATGATCAAGGCTCTTCAAAACAGCAGTAGCCTGAAAAGGGGTGCTACATCGAAAGATTTTTACGTAAAAAAATACAGTATCTGAGCCTTCAAGCATCTAGGGTTACCACAGGGATTACTCCATGACCTAAAGCATGGCTCTTCGCACACGAGAACATGTAGAAGCCCAGAGGGCTGATATTCACTCGATATCTTTGGCCGCTCACTGACTAGTGACCATTGAGACGTGCGTGACTGGAGTTCGTGCGCCACGCCAGGTCGAATGGATCGCCATTGTCGCGCAACGGACCAGCGCGATGTGCAGCCGATGATAAAACAAAGTAAAAAGTCTTGAAGGAGTGAAAGGCCGGAATTAGGGGTGGCGGGCTTCGCTAAGCCTACACACGCATCTCCAAGGAGTCCTTTCGCACGCCTGCCGTGTCTCTCCACTTCTGGCGTGCTCCGTTTACCTAAAGTCAGTGTAGGGTAGCGTTCGAGGTTTCCCTCCAGCATGATTGCGCACGTACGCAAGCCGTTTCCTTTACGCCCCAAAGCGGAGGCATAGACTATCTGGGAGCGCGGTGCTAATCGAATAATGGTATAGACTCACACGAGTAACGATTACGACGATGTGCGTGCAATGAATTAACTGGTTTTCTCGGTTAATCCTGCAGTAAAGCACCGTGACTGCGTAATCTATTCTCCTTTTTGTTGTTTTTTTGTTTTTTTTTTCACGGTGTCTTATCTGCCGCTTCATGGCAAAGGTTACACAACGAGCACACAACATAAGCTGAAGCATGGTTGTTCCTGTGAAGCTGCTACATAATTTCCAGCTTCGACGTAGGCAACAGATATCGTAATTGCCATATCACCGTCCTTATTGACGTAAACGACTTTTTCTCTGGTCAGTGAACAAAGACAGGGTTGCTTACATTATTTTGCGCTCGTATTTCTGTACATTCGAAACAACGTTACCGATTACGGCTGCTTTGCTCACTGCCTGCAGTACCGCATTATCCGCGCACGGCTTGATTGATGCAACTTCCCTGTTTTTTTTTTCTATTTTCCCGAGGAAGGAGAGATTTACGTGCCTGATTCGGCACTAAATCTTTGCGTTCTGTGCTGGGGTAGTCTTACTTTTCTTGGCACTCTCATTGTGGACACCGAAAGAAGGCAATTTATCTTTAACTGCTACCAGCACTATAAGTTCCCGAGTACTGGCGCTTTTGAACACACAATCACCGTTTCCTTTACGGTACTGTACTGCACACTCTAAGCAATTTTCGTAACGGTTTCTCAATACTGAATTTTTGCGTTACGTCACAAGCTGAAAACTGATCCGAAGTGTCACAGACAAAAACTCAAAATAGGAGCGAACGCGACTGCAATCATTTCGAGCGTGATATGAAGGAAGGCTATATCGTTCCACTTCTTTTGGAGACACGGCCGCAGCAGCGATCGAAATCAGCTTCGTGCTGTCTATATAATCAGCGCTAACGTTGCGATCAAAGCACACTACAAAGCTATGAAGTGTCTGCCGAGGTCATCTGGAGATACGCGGGCAACTGCTGCGAGTGACCATGCCTGGTTGGTCGAAGTATGCAATGCCTGTAAAATCAGCTCACACCCCCACCACCATTACAGCTTTTACGTTTATGCGCGACATGATGACTGTACAGGCTTTTTTGTTTAACTGGGCTCAAGCACTGTGTGTCTTAACCATAGAATTATTGGCTGCAACTAGACCCGTAACTAACGAGGTAGGCAGCCCCCCCCCTCCCCGTCCGAAATTGAGATCGCTCGAAGTGCTTAACCAAAGAGAAATAATACAAAAAAGTCTTTTTCAGAACTTCAAATGATCCCCCCCCCCCCCCAAAAAAAAAAGTGCCTGGCTACGAGCCTAATTGCAAAGAATACGTAACTGTGATTCCGAGTTGAATCGAGATTTTTATCCCACTTTCGACAATGTCACGTTTTTGCAGAACGTGTCATATTGTTCTTCCGATGAGGCATTTAGAGTCTTCGCCTTAAATATGAACCAGGAACCAAACTGAACATGAAAATGAAAATCTCGGGACAGTGTTCGGCTAGCGTCCGCAAGCATTTCTCACGTGAGAAGCTCACCGATATCTTCGCTACAGTTAATAAAAGTACTTCGCTGCCTGAACGCTCTCCAAACAAACCGTTTCGTCATTCCCAAGGGCGTCGTTCTGCCGAACAGATACTCGGCAGTTGTCAGAGGTTACCACAACCATGTCAGGAATGTGCCAAATAAAGAAAATGACATCGTCAACGTGATGTCTCTCGGCATCCTACCCGAACGTACACTCACCGTTCACTAATGATCTGATGTTGGACCTTTCCACCTCATCTTTCTTTTCCCGTCTTTCAGCACTCTCTTTAGCTTCGTTCTTGGGATGCCTCGGGCATTACACCTGGTGTTTACTTTCTTTTTTTTTCTCTCACGCTCTCACTCTCGCTTGCTCAGTTTTCTGCGTTCCACGTCTCATAGGTGAAAAAGCAGTCGCTAGGTGGATACCACCGCAGGCTTGTGAGAAATGGGCTGGCCGACGTTAGCGCTACATTATCGGTACATGCCCCGGGAAAGTCAGTGCGAAAGTGCAGAGGGCAGGGAGCGGTAATAGTCGAACTCAGGTACAGCCGTCGGAAGCGCGGGGCGATTTGCGCAATGCGTGGAACACGTGCAGAAGCGGTCTTTAATGATGCCAGAACTTGCCGACAGCGGCCGTTTATTGGCTTGGATTTGATGTGGCCGTATACGTCGCTAAAGGCGGTAACCGAAAGTTGTGCCGCTGTCGTCTGACGACGGATTTTCGTGAGTTGGTTACCAGTGGCCATCAGCGATTCGACGTATGGCGGATTTGATACTACCAACTTGATCTGCGCCCACGGTCACCAGCTGTTAGCGTGGAGTAAAAGTAATGCTCCCTACCTTTTTATTACATTCTTTCACTCTCAATGCTCACAGACGAGTTCGGCATGAGCCGCATAATGGTGATAATTTTCTAAATTCTAACTTAAAGAACCCCAGGTGGTCAAAATTTCCGGAGCCCTCCACTACGCCGTCTCTCATAATCATATGGTGGTTTTGGGACGTTAAACCCCACAAATCCATCCACTTCTAAATTCTAAAGGTGTGCAAGAATGCACCGCGTTAACCCCATATCGTAGGATAAATAAAAAAAATAAACGCCTGTACAAACCACCATTACTTTTAAAGCGTTTTGTTGCATAGCTGCAATGTGCAAATACAAGTATTGTGCTACAGTTCATAATGACCGTAAATGTATCTGCGCTAAGGTACGCAATGAATTGATTGATTGATTGATATGTGGGGTTTAACGTTTAAAACCACTCTATGATTATGAGAGACGCCGTAGTGGAGGGCTCCGGAAATTTAGACCACCTGGGGTTCTTTAACGTGCACCCAAATCTGAGCACACGGGCCTACAACATTTCCGCCTCCATCGGAAATGCAGCCGCCGCAGCCGGGATTCGAACCCGCGCCCTGCGGGTCAGCAGCCGAGTACCTTAGCCACTAGACCACCGCGGTGGGGCGGTACGCAATGAACGAGGGCCACAGACCTGTTGCGGAAATCATGTTATTTTGTCAGTTATATCTTTTCGTTACGGGTACTATATATATATATATATATATATATATATATATATATATATATATATATATATATATATATATATATATATATATATATATATATATGTACACCTGACAAAATAACACGATTTCCGCTACAGGGGTATAGTATTTTCGATGAAAAATTTTGTGATTTTGTGCAAACAATTTCATGCTAAAACATAGCGGAGAATTTACCTGCCCAACTTTTGTAATTAGTTAGTTCTTGTGGTACATGGGCCATGGGTGGCCAAAGACTGCCATGTTTTTAACCGTGCATTTTTGGTGATAGGGAACAGGCCCCAGCTCATACTCTCGCCTACTGCACTTTTTTTATCAATAAAAGCCAATTCATCTGCTTGTTGTAACCTTCTTAAAGAGAGAATATATCAGACAACGTAATACTGAGAGCACATGCTCGACTTGTATCTTCGCTGTAAGATAACCAAAGCAATGCTTCATGTTTAATGGTCGACGATGCCATGGGACCACCTACAGCTATATTAGTGTAGGACCATCTAATTGCACTTGGAATGTGGTGCTGGGCGCGTGCGTATTGCAGCGCAAGTTGTTGGACCATGGCCGTGCGTGTCGCAGGCTTTGAAGAGCTACGTACGCAATGCGACTGTTTATAAAATCAAAGGGCTTTATTGATTGATTTTTCGCGTTCTGAACAGCTGCAACTGTTCCGCACTGATAGAGCACGGCTCCGTTCCCCTGGCTTCATTATCCTTGTTCTTTACATTTATTCGCCCTGCGTAAGGTAGCGAACTGAACTCGCGTTTGCTTGGCATTCCTATTCTTCTCCCCTCCCTATCTACCTCTTTCCCGCCATGCATTATTTCTCTTTCCCCCTTCATTACCTTCCCCTTGGGGTGCACCTTTAGTGTACCAATTATAGTGTATACTTACGGGCCATGTTTATTCTTCTCTCTGTCCTTGCAGTTCGCATGCTGGGACAACCCTGCCGGCGCAACGAGCAGTGCCTCAAGATTGACAAGAACTCTGAGTGTGATAACGACTACTGCAAGTGCAAGGATGGCTACTATCTCTTCAATGACGTCAATGGGACATCCTGTCTACCAGGTATGCTATTGTTACTGGTGGCATCATACACGGTCATAAGTGCTGGATGTGTTCCCGCTGCAGGGTGTGCGACGTCGGTTGCGTCCCACAGTTTCGAAGCCCAATTGTTCTCTGTGTCCAGGACCACGCTGTCGGAACTGAACGGGAGCCGGAAACTACAAACGAAAAAAGAAACGACATTTTCGACCGTAACGAAAACGTATTCGAAACGTTATCTATTACTTCGTTCCGGAGTGGCAAAATATTTTTTATCGGTTTTCGATTCAAGTTTTATCAATCACTTTCTTTCGTACTGCCATTGACTTTGAGAGTATCTGTAAATAAAAATGAAGAGAAAATGAAGAGTTAGCAATCCAGCATAAGCAAAGGCATGAAACGCGAGAAATAATGCTCACATTGCATAACCTTGGTTGAGCTGGATTTCTAAATATGCGTATCTTAAGGTAGACAGTAAAAGCGCGTGAGCCCGGTATTGATCTCAAAATCAAACATGTGTTGAAGTTTTCCGAAAAAGGATGAGTGTGAGTCGAAGTTGTTTTTGTTAACGCAAGCGGACCTCGGTTACCTTGACGTGTCTGCGTGGAGAGGGCAGTGGCAGTGCTGAAGCTTCTTTTATCAGAAATGCGCCATCGCACATCATACACTACAATCGACAACCTGCTCTTTCTAATAATATGCTCATTCATTTTACATGAAGCATTCGCACTGTTCAGAGGATTCCTAATTCACCAATGAGGAAAACTAATACTTGTGTCTAGAATTTTGAATGTTACCTTCAATTCAGTTTTTTTTGCTAATAAAGTTCGTTAAAATCATTACGGAAGGGAGAAGAAACGTAATTCAGCTTCAGCTGTCGTCATAGAACATTTTTTTGTTATTTCAGTAGAAAAGCTGAACGAAACTTTTTTTTTCGATGGAACGAAACTAAAACCGAAAAGAAACAAAACGAAAAAAAAAACGTTTATTTCAGACACCCTGTACCGGGACAGACATTGTTGTCTCCGTTGCAGCGCGTTTGTGAGGGTTGTAATATCCCCTCCAGCGGCGGTGGCTGCGTTTGTGTACACAACACTTATGTGCTTGCAGTGTCCACTTCTGGCCGAAAAAGAGCATTCTACATTACTCGTGAGACAAATCGAACTTTCTGCATAGCCAGTATGTCTTGTCCTAACACGGGTTGCTGCGTGTGGCTATAACCAATCGCTCTGGTGAAGGCACTATGTTCCGCTGGTCGTTCGGCGTACTACGTCCCAGAATCAACGTCAAAAGCATCGCTTTTCTTCTGTTGAATTCAATGCATTAAAGAACGAGTCACACATACACTTGGAGCCTCTGATTACTATCTTTTTATGTCAAAATGAAACACGACTAACTGCAGAATAGCGAAGTATTTGATTTAACGCTAATTACAGTTACGAAAATTCGAAGAAAACAACATATTGCCTGATTTTTCTTTCTCGGGTTGTAAGATCAAGTGCCCTTTAGTTATGGTATGTAAATTAGGCACATTCGTAGAATGTGCATAAAAAATGGCCTGTGAATACGATATACGAATTGAAATTAGTCAAAGCACACGTCTCGCGACATACTGGGCTGGTGCATAACGTGGTTTTCGTGAGCCACATTCTCTCGCCCAGCCGAGTCATCTCCTTTAATATGTTTAAATCAGTACTTCTTTTAAGACCATCGTACTAAGATGTATTGTTCACGTGACAAAGATTCGAAACCCGTGTTCATCGCCCTAGCAAGCTAAAACACCTCCTTTTGCAGGATACCTGTTTTCGGCCACCAGTAATTCTTTAGCGTTGATGTTAGCTCACTTGGATGTGTTACGTAACAACAGACGAGGGCGACCAAAGGACTGCCGAAGTTCCTAAGAAAAACTAACGCGGACAAGGCTGTGAAAGCGATGTTTCTAAGCCCGTGAACGGGATGGACATGTACCTGACTGTATGCTAGTTTGAGCGGCTGTTAAGTGCTAGCTTTCTGTCTCTTACCACTCTTTTCTCTCCTTCTTTCAATCTCCCTTTTCCGGACCTACGTTTAGGATAACAAGCTGCCTTCCCTGAACTGATTAACCTCCTTGCCTTTCCTTCTCCACCATTTCTTCTATCGGCCATTTATGATAAAAGTACATGCAGCACTGCTTGATGGTCCATGTTTACCAGTTGACATGTTCATATGTACCCGCCACGTATCTTGTCCTAGCCTCTACTAGGCCATTTCTTTTTTTCAATTCACAGTATATTTACGCAATATATTTATAACAATCTTTACGTACTGTCTTCAAAAAACCATTTGAATTGAAACTAACTGCACAGCATTCCACAAACTCTTCAATTAGTATTTATGGCGTTCAATGCAGTCGGATAGATTCGGAAATGTAAACACAGACGCTGTAAGTAACGAGCTGGCGTAACCTTTGAATAACCATTTGGGACTTCTCTTACGCGACTCTCTGCAGACGTCGAGCTGCAGACAATGCGCCCTTTCGGCATGGATCCCAAGACAGATCCTGGGATGTCCGATGAGAACATGGTGCCCATCATCGTGTGCCTGGCCATCATGTTTGTCGGCATGTGCGTCGCCCTGCAGTTGTTCAGCAGGTGCGTGGAAATGTTGAATTGTATATCCCCTTTCAGCGAAAGCAGCGACCATGGTCAAGACAACACTATCAACACACTCACTTTTTAAGACGATTGTACTTCTTGGGGACCTTCGACGGCGAAATTTTTGTCCGTCTGTCTCTATATTTGTCTGTTTGTCCGCAATAACTATTTTTCTAATGGCACCAAATGATAACACAAACGGCCAACTCCATCCTCAGCGCCCACCAATATTGCTACAGTTTCAGCGTTCATACTTGTGTGATTGTCAATTAAAAAGCAATTATTGCGGGTATCTGAGGCACCGTAACAACACGTCGATGTTTTGTATGCGTGCCTTTATACTAGAGAAGACACACACAAGTAATTCTAAGGCCCGTAGCGTTTATCCCGCTGCTCTGACAGTGCAACACGATTCTCAAAAAGGCAAGTGATTCGACGCTTTGCTAAGACGACACGGTGGTGGCACCTGCCCGTCACTTTGCGTTATACTCGTTATCGCATCTGAGACAGGGGCGCATCTTCCTCCGCGCGTGTGCACGCCTTCCTTCGTTTTCGAAGATGACTGCCAGATGGCGCTCGTGTCTAACGTGCCTCCATGCGCTCGTTCGCCTTCGCTGCACGGATCAAGACTAACGCAGTGCTTCCTGAATACAATTCACCGACTTTATCGCTCAGAACATTAAATAGACGTTTTTTTCACTCTCTCCACACGCAAGACTATCGTCTTTCAGCCATTTATGATAAAAGTACACGCAGCACTGTTGGATGGTCCATGTTTACCAGTTCACATGTTCATATGTACCCGCCACGTATCTTGCCCTAGCCTCTACTAGGCCATTTCTTTTTTGTCAATTTACAGTATATTTACGCAATAAATTTATAACAATCTTTACGTACTGTCTTCAAAACACCATTCGAATTGAAACTCACTGCACAGCATTCCACAAACTTTTCAGTCAGTATTTATGGCGTCAATGCAGTCGGATAGATTCGGAATTGTAAACACAGACGCTGTAAGTAACGAGCTGGCGTAACCTTTGCCTAACCGTTGGGACTTCTCTTACGCGACTCTCTGCAGACGTCGAGCTGCAGACAATGCGCCCTTTCGGCATGGATCCCAAGACAGATCCCGGGATGTCCGAGGAGAACATGGTGCCCATCATCGTGTGCCTGGCCATCATGTTTGTCGGCATGTGCGTCGCCCTGCAGTTGTTCAGCAGGTGCGTGTAAATGTTGTATCGTATATCCCCTTGCAGCGAAAGCAGCGATCATGGTCAAGACAACCCTATCAACACACTCACTTTTTAGGACGATTGTATTTCTTGGGGACCTTCGACACCAAAACTTTTGTCTGTCTGTCTGTATACTTGTCTGTTTGTCCGCGATAACTATTTTTTAATGGCACAAAACGATAACACAAACGGCCAACTCCATCCTCAGCGCCCACCAATATTGCTGAAGTTTCAGCGTTCGTACTTGTGTGATTGTCAATTAAAAAGCAATTATTGCAGATATCTGAGGCACCATAACAACACTTCGATGTTTTGTATGCATGCCTTTATACTAGAGAAGACACACACAAGTAATTCTAAGGCCCGTAGCGTTTATCCCGCTGCTCTGACAGTGCAACACGATTCTCAAAAAGGCAAGTGATTCGAGCTTTGCTAAGATGACACGGTGGTGGCACCTGCCCGTCACTTTGCGTTATACTCGTTATCGCATCTGAGACAGGGGCGCATCTTCCTCCGCGCGTGTGCACGCCTTCCTTCGTTTTCGAAGATGACTGCCAGATGGCGCTCGCGTCTAACGTGCCTCCATGCGCTCGTTCGCCTTCGCTGCACGGATCAAGACTAACGCAGTGCTTCCTGAATACAATTCACCGACTTTATCACTCAGAACATTAAATAAACGTTTTTTTCACTCTCTCCACACGCAAGACTATCGTCTTTCGATGACATTTGCAGTGAAACATGCAGACACGGGGCCAATTTTTTTTTTCAGACAAAGCTTGCTATTTTATGGCGCAGTACAGAGCGCAAGCTCATTCAGTGTAGCAGACTGACCCTCGAGAGCCAGAGTCGGGCATAAATTACGTGGCTCATCACAACACACGTATCGGAGCCCCCTTTAATTCCGATTTCCCATTCCCTGCGCAGAACTGCGGAGGTGCCCTCGCTTAAGAGAGACAGTAACGAAGCTGCGCTTATGCCTTCCTTCTTCCTTTTTGAAAGTCACGTCGAAGCGCACCTGAGAAACGCTGATACGTGATTGCGCACTGTTTGCATACAATGATATACTTTTTTTGCTCTATCTTGTCAACGCTAATAAATGTAAATGGTCACTATGGCTTGTGAAATTTCGTTCGCCGAATGCACAGATGCCAAGCAGTGGATCCTACTTTTTCTAAAAAGACCAACGGAAAACCTGAAGTCGCTGTAAAATGTAAAGTCTATTCTGTAATAAATTTATTCTACAACAACAAAGCTGCAGAGATGGCCAGCCAAATTGATAATAGTAATAAAAGCGGCAAATTGCAACTTAAGGGGCTAAATAATCGAACAATTAGCCTCAATGTGTTATATGTGTGTTATATTCATTTAATTGTGCCGAATTTTACGTTGACCCCACGTGAGTAGTCATATTGATAATGACTAGTTACACTATTAAGAAATATAATAATTGCACTTTGTACATTTTCTTCCACGTTATAATATATGTTGGTCGACATAGGTCCGTTTACACGTTAATTGTGTCTTAGGACACTGGCTGCGATCATTTCGGTGCGATAAGCATGAGAGCGTTGTTGCGCTTCTTGCGTGCAACTAATCTGAAAGACAAACTCTATAAGCAGTGTCGTTTACTGCACTGTTCCTCTCTTTCTGTTCTCTATTGTCATTTTGTAACATCTCTTCTCTGTCAACTTTTATTCCATTTTCTCGCATCCTTTATTCCTCTTACCCCCTTTCCCAGCACTGGGTAGCCAGTTCTTAGACCAACTGGCTACCCAGTGCTGGGTAGCCAGTTGAAACGCGTCTTCCTCACATCCACATAATAAGAAGCACGCCTTGTTCTTGTTGTTGACGTGCGCAGGGCTCGCTTCCGCAACCAGCGCACCATCTTCAACTCTCCAAACCCGCGGCTGTCGCACCTCAAGTTGAGCAACAAAGACAGCAAACGGCGCCACAGTCACGCCAGCCTGCACGCGGGCTCCCGGAGAGCGAGCGCCTGTTCCCAGATGTCCCCTTCCAAGATGGGTAAGTCACGTGACCCACTTTCACTTCCCTTCTCTTAAGGTTGGCTGAGGTAAGCAAACATACAAGACTGGTATGCTCTGCGGGAGCCGCTTCTTTCCACATGATAAACTTCAGCGTTGGGGATAGATTCAGGTCACGTAATAGGTGACGGAGGGGGGATGGAAGCAGGCAGCCTTTATCAAAACAAATAGTAGTTGAGAAGCATCGATTGTGGTAGTAAACACAGCTTTGGACCTGCAGTGGTTATGATGAAAAAAGGTCGTCCGTTTGCGGCAGACATCCGGTCTCATGTAGGTATGCATAGTACTAACATTTGGCCGCAAGCACGGATTCAAGACGGCAATGAACTGGCTTAATTGGTTGGGTAAAATACGCTGTCAACGTGTCCCTGTTTTTGTACTCCTTTTGTAATACCCAGCACAAGATGCAACCCTGAAAAAACAAGCACAGATCCAAAGCAGTGACACACTCTGATTTAACTACAGCATATATATATATATCTGAGAGTTCGCCGAACCACGAGATTGCAGTAACTAGAAGAATAAGAATGTGGTGAAACACATTTGGCAAGCACTCTCAAATCAAGACTGGTATATTGCCACTATCCCTCAAGAGGAAGGTATATAACAGTTTCATCTTGCCCATACTTACCTACGGAGCAGAAACGTGGAGGCTTCCAAATAGGGTTCAGCTTAAATAGAAGACGACGCAGCAAGTGATGGAAAGGAAAATGATAGGTGTAACCTTAAAAAACAAGAAGAGAGCAGATTTGGCCAAAGAACAAACCGGGGTTAAGGATATCTTAGTTGAAATCAACAAAAATAAATGAACATGGGCCGGACACGTAGCGCGTAGGCCGGATAACCGGTGGTCATTAAAAGTTACTAACCTAATTCCCAGAGAAGGCAAACGCACGAAGGTGCGACAGTAAGTTAGGTGGGCCGATGAGATTCAAAAATTTGCGGGTATAACGTGGCAACGGAAAGCACAACAGCGGGTTAACTGGCGGATCATGGGAGAGGCCTTTGCCCTGCAGTGGGCGTAGTCAAGCTGATTAGGATGATGGTGATGATGATGATGATGATGATATCAGAAAGCGGGTGAACGTGTCCGAGTGTCTGATTACAGTGAGCTCGATTACTTTTCTAGATTCAGCTCCATCATTGTTATCGCTGTTATTCTCACTACAAAGCGAATTCTAGTGATATACTCTTGCGGCCATTGCGTGCAAGTAGAAGCCATTCTTGGCCGAAATTTTTTGTGGCATTAACCTCTTCTGTAACTATCTTCAAGCCGTCGTTTATTAACATTATTCTCTGCCTTCTGTAGATATCTATGGATACTCAGCTGCGGTGTTTGTGATTATGCTCAAAGGTTGACAGGGATGGGGGCTAGTTGTGATGACTACATGGCAGGCGGTCTTAGCTTGATATATATAGCCAGTTTATTTTTCTTTCGAGTTTCTAATGCGTTGACAGCAGCGGTGTGCCACGGCACCTCAAACATTCCTGTGGTCCAAAGAAACGCAATCAGCAGTCGAAAAACACTCCCGTTCTGGCCATTGGTGTTAAAATAAGCACAATATTATCAAAACTCGCGAGTGTAAAACTTTTTTATGCACGCTGTGACACTCTACGGGCGTTGTCCGAGAAGAATGTTGTTAGATATCGCTAATTCTCAGTCGTCTTCGCTGGTGTTTTACTATTGTCACAAGCATGAATAATTTAGTATATTCAGAGTGAGGGTTTCAGCAATCTACCAGGCAGTGACAAACGTCCACTCTATTAAAATAAGAAGACACAAACATAAAGATCCCCCTGTTCCTTCATTAAAATATAAGGAAAATGACCCAACACAGAACAAAGACGTAGATGAAGGAACGAGTACAGTTTTATCAGACTGCTCATTTATTATTGACGACTAATAGACAATAATATATTGACAGCTAACTTGCCACCTTGCGGTGGTAAGTTGTCTTTTTGTCCACTTTTTTTGCTTACATTTACATCACAATTACTTCTGATAACGTTGTTTACTCTTTCTGCGGCTTTATTGTCAATTAGACCTCAATAATACAGCGTCTAACAAGAAAAACAAGCTCTTCAATTGACATTTTTTGTATTGATATGATATGTAAGGAGATGTTAGCGCAAAACTCAGACATAAATTCACAGTGCCCAGATTGCACAGAAGTGTACTGTTCACTCGCGCACATGCTCTGGCAATGTCCCGCGTTACCTCAGGGACCTCTCACCAGTGAGTCCGACTGGGAGGAGGCACTCAGGAGCCCCAATCTCCGAAACCAACTTAAGGCAGTCCAGAGGGCCCAAGAACTGGCGGAACGCCACCACGTTCCAGCCCCGACTCGGGCGTCGCCTACGGTAGCGGCTGCTAGGATGTCCCACGTGGGCACCCTGGTGGCTTAAACTCCTCAGGACCATATATTAAAGTTCTTGACTGACTGACTGACGGCATGTGTTATACAAATAAAAGTTTACTACTTGCCAGTGATTCCGATGTCTTCTAAAAAAACGTTTTAATGTTTTTAAACGTAACGTCTGTAAAGCTTCTGTTGGGCACGGGCCCAGAGGTTTCTTGATACTGAACGTAATACTGAAGCCAATAGTTCCAATTTAAGACATCTCTGCGGCCTGACATGATGTGGGCAGTCTATATAAAGGTGACATACGTTGATTGATGTGTCAGTTTTAATGTGCCCAAAACCACCATATGGCTATGAGAGACTCCGTAGAGGAGAGCTCCGTAAATGTTGACGACCTGGGGATCTTTATTGTACACCAAATCTGAGCCCACGGGCCTCCAGCATTTTCGACTCCATCTAAAATGCAGCCGCCCCGCCGCGGTGGTATAGTAGTTACGGTACTCGGCTGCAGACCCGTAGGTCATGGGATCGAATCTCAGCGGCGGTGGCTCCATTTTCGATGGAGGCAAAAAATTGGGAGACCCTTAAGCTTTGTCTTCAAGAGTTGAACGCGATAGTGAAATCTGGCCTCTAGTGCACCCTTCAGCCGCTAAGTACATACTTATTCATAAGTTTTGTTACATACACAGGCACGCACACAAACACGCGCACATCATATTGGACGAGTGCGCGCTATTATCGCCGAGTGGGCTTGTTTTCATCGTGACACCTGTCAAAAAAAATGCGTTAAAAGGGCCATGGAATGAATTCACTAGAAAAGTGTATTGCCTCACAAATTCAACGTCGCTAAAAAGTTTAAGAATCCGTCCAGTGCGAGTGAAGTTACAAAGGTTTCTCGCATGCTGCAATTGCATTATCTCTTCTCTCGTCCCGATGAAAGCGCTAGAAGCTAAGCATGCAGGGAGGGGTGGCAGGGCAAAGAAACTACCGCGCCTCGTGACCTTAAGCACTTTTTTTTCTTCGAATGCGCGGTTTTTCAGTGTGATCGCGCCTGTACTAGTGGACAAGTAGCGGCCTTTCGCGGCTATCTCGGTAACTTGATTTTTCGGTCACAGACGCACAGACGATTTTTCACTCACAACCAACGGGGCCGACGTCCGGCGGCGGGTTTTCTGCTGACACAAGCTCTTTAACGCTATCGCGTTGAAAATGCTGTAGGCCCGTGGGCTCAGATTTGGATGCACGTTAAAGAACCCCAGGTGGTTGAAATTTCCGGAGCCTTCCACTACGGCGTCTCTTATAATCATATGATGGTTTGGGAACAATAAACTCCACATACTATTATCAAAAATGCAGCCGCCGCGGCCGGGATTCGACCCCGCGACCTGCGGGTCACCAGCCGAGTACCTTAGCCATTAGACCACCGCGGTGGCGCAAGGGGACACACCTCTTCATCTACAAATCCATACTTAAGAGTTTAAGCTTGTCAATTTAGTGTAAAAAACGATTTTGTAAGCGTTGCCTATCCTTAACCGGTGAATAAGTGCTTCCATACTTCTATCTAGTGCTAGAGTAATTTTGAGTTCAATGAATGGATTAAGATGATATATATCACAGCTTTTTGTACTTTGGTTAAACCAAGTAATTTGCTCATTCGGAAAGTTTCAGCCTTGATAACACTAGGCAATTCATTTCTTTAGATGGGCTACTCTTTCTTTACCAACCTCAAAATTTACACTTTGCTGAATAATTACGGCCCTTAATTGATATGTTCTTCTGATTTTGCTGTCTACTGTCTCAGCCTATTTGTCCTGCAGTCGCAATGCAAGCTTTGTTTCAAGAAAATACACCGTAATGCCACGCCTGTCTCGCCCAACTCTCGTTTGTTTAAATTCACAAATTTTCTTGTAGAGGCTTTTGCAACGCTTGTCAAAGCTCAAAGTGATAAGTTTTGGTTCCCTTTGCATACAGGAGCAGCTGAGACTTATACAATAAACAAATGTCCACATCTTGCCAGCAGCTGTTAGATCCACCGCTTAAACATTGTTTAAGCATTTTAAGCTGATACGGTCTCTTATAAGCTTCGCTGTCTGTTTTCTTTTCCCAGTTTGTAGGCCCAAAGGCATATGCATTCTTTAATGGGTGTTCTAATAGGTTTATGTACACCTATATACACTTAAAAAGATGGAAAAAGGTTGTTTTCTTATTGCTTTGCCATGAATATATATATATATATATATATATATATATATATATATATATATATATATATATATATATATATATATATATATATATATATAATGTAACTGCTACTTCTAAATTCACATATAAACCCCAAAAAGTGGATGGAGGGAAGGCCGCTGTGGTAGCTCAGTGGTACGTTAGAGCATCGAACGCGTTATTCGAAGGTCGTAGGTTCGATTCCTGCTCACGGCTGGTTATCTAATAACTTCCCCTGTACATTCCTTGGCATTACTGTCTGTTAGATCTCAATAATATTGTGTTAAAACACGGAAAAACGAGCCCTTAGGTATACACTTCTTTCCCTCATATATATATATATATATATATATATATATATATATATATATATATATATATATATATATATATA